CATAAGAACATAAGAACATAAGAACATAAGAAAGGCCGTACCGGGTCAGACCAAAGGTCCATCTAGCCCAGTATCCTGTCTACCGACAGTGGCCAATGCCAGGTGCCCCAGAGGGAGTGAATAATGAGACCCTCCCCTCCCCAATCTGCCTCCCTTCCCAGAATACCTTCCTCCCCCGCCTCCACTTTCACCCTCCCATTGGTCTTATGCCTGTTCCTAAGTTTACCTGTGGTTCTTTAGCCTGGAAATCCCTAGAGATCAAGTTTTCTTACAGGATTTCCCGTGCTTCCTGGGGTCATCGAGGCTAAAAACACTTTGTCACAATGTTTTGTCTCAGCCATTTCCAACCCCAGATGAACCTAAAAATATCTATATATTTGTTCTGAGCTCCAGAAGGAGGTGAGAGATGGAATCTCCATCCTTAGAGGTTTTTAAGGACCGGCTTGACAAAGCCCTGGCTGGGATGATTTAGTTGGTGTTGGTCCTGCTTTGAGCAGGGGGTTGGACTAGATGACCTCCCGAAGTCTCTTCCAACCCTAATCTTCTATGATTCTATGAGAGGAAGACCACTTGGAAGTCTCTTGATAAAGATAAAAGAGGTAAATAACAGGGGTAACATCATGGTAGTGGTCTACTATAGACCGCCAAATCAGGACGAGGAGGTGGATGAGGCATTTCTAGAACAAATAACAGAGATATCCAAAACACAAGACCTGGAAGTAATGGGGGACTTTAGCTATCCAGAGATTTGTTGGAAAAGTAATACAGTAAAACAAAAAATTTCCAGTAAGTTGTTGGAATGTGTTGGGGACAATTTTTTTGTTTCAGAAAGTGAAGGAAGTAACCACGGGGCAGCCATTTTAGACTTGATTCTCACCAACAGGGAGGAATTGGTAGCGAATCTGAAGGTGGAAGGAATTTTGGGTGAAAGTGATCATGGAATGATAGATTTCATTATTCTAAGGAAAGGAAGGAGTGAGATCATCAGAATAAGGATAATGGTCTTCGGAAAAGCAGACTTTAACAAACTAAGAGAACTGGGAAGTAAGATCCCATGGGAAGAAAATCTAAGGGAAAATGGAGTTCAGGAGACCTGGCAGTTTCTCAAGGAGTTGATATTAAAGGCAAAACTGCCAACTATTCCAATGTGAAGGAACGATAGGAAGAATATAAAAGAATATGGCTCCCTCTTTAATGGCCTGTAAATCAAGAAGGAATTCTACAAAAAGTGGAAACATGGACAAATTGCTAGTAAAAAAGAATAGCACAAGCATGTAGGGACAAAATTAGAAAGGCTAAGGCACAAAGTGAGTTACACCTAGCAAGGGACATAAAAGACAATAAGAAGAGGTTCTATGAATACATTAGGAGCAAGAGAAAGACAAAGGAAAGTATAGTTCCTCTACTTAATGGGGAAGAAAAGCTAATAACTGATGACATCAAGAGGGCTGAAGTATTTTAATGCCTATTTTGCTCCAGTTTTCACTAAAATGGTAAATTGTGACCAGATACTTAACGTAATTAATATTAACAACAAGGGGGAAGGAACAAAGCCAAAATAGGAAAAGAACAGGATAAAGAATATGTTAGATATACTCAAGTCAGCAGGGACTGATGAAATTCATCGTAGGGTACTTAAGGAACTAGCTGAAGCAAGCTTGAAACCATTAGCAAGTATCTTTGAGAACTCAGGGACTATGGGTGAGGTCCCAGATGACTGGAAGAGGACAAACATAGTATCTATCTTAAAAAAGGAGAACAAAGAGAACCTGGGGAATTATAGACCAGCCAGTTTAATGTCAATATGTGGAAAGATACTGGAACAAATGATTAAACAATCAATTTGTAAGCTCCTAGAGAATAATAGGGTTGTAAGGAATAGCCAGCATGGATTTGTTAAGAACAAATCATGCCAAATCACCCTAGTTTCCTTCTTCGATGGGGTTACTGACCTAGAGGATAAGGGAGAAGCTGCAGATGTGATATATCTTGATTTTGGTAAGGTTTTGGACCACAAATAGAATACGAGTCAACAATGTTATGCAAATGCGAAAAAGGCTAATACCATTCTGGGGTGTATTAACGTGAGTGTTGTATGTAAGATCCGGGAGGTAATTGTCTCACTCTCCTTGGCGTTGGTGAGGCCTCACCTCAGCTGGAGTACTGTGTCCAATTCTGTGCACCACACTTTAGGAAACATGGACAAATCACTCTTCTCTGGACTCTCTTCAACAAAAGTGATAAAAGGTTTAGAACACCCGTCCTATGAGGAAAAGTTAAAAAAAACGGGCATGTTTCGTCTTGAGAAAAGACAACTGAGGGGGAATCTGATAACAGTCTTCAAATATGTTTAGGTCTGTTATAAAGAGGACAGTGATTGATTGTTCTCCAAATCTGCTGAAAGTAGGACAAGAAGTAATGGGCTTAATCTACAGCAAGAAAGATTTAGATTAGATATTAGGAAAAACTTTCTAATTATAAGGGCGGTTAAGCACTGGAATAGGCTTCCAAGGAAGGTTGTGGAATAGCCATCACTGGAGGTTTTTAAGAACAGGTTGGACAAACTCGTGTCAGGGATGGTCAAGGTTTACTTGTGCCTGCCTGAGCACAGGGAGCTGGACTTAATAACTTCTCAAGGTCCCTTCCAGTCCTACATTTCTGTGATTCCATGATTCTATGAATCAACAGAGCAGAGGAGCTCACCAACTTACCGAAAAAAATTCACTAAACTTTTTCAAGCTTTCAGAAGATTGAGTTTGCAGCAAAGGTTTGGGCAGGTTCTTATTTTATCTGAAATGGTCTCCCTGTCCCTATTCCCCAATCCTGTGAACACCTGCTTAACTTGCCTGACAGGGCAGTGCCATTGACTTCACTGGGACAGTTCACATGAGTGAATTTAAGTACATACATTCAGAAGGGGTTGG